TCAAATTTCGATCTCCGAATATGAAATCAATTCTTGAATAAGAACAATGAGTCTTACTAAGACATGTGAAGTCTTTCTCTGTAGGGTGAAAAATCCTCCAGCAATCATAAAAGGCTTCATTTTGTATTATATTCCTACATTTTTTTGCCTGATTTAAAGCATTCCTCGAGGGTATTTTAGACTTTTCAGACTGTCTGTCCATATTGGGATCAGTTACCAAATTAAAATCGCCCATAACTAATGTATATCCTTGTTTAATTTTATTTAGTTGAGCAAAAAATGTATATAAAAACTGTATCTGAGAGGTGTTTGGGGCATAAATATTAGCAAATGTATAACGTTTATCTTCTATTGTACATACTAAAATAATCCACCTTCCCATCGGATCGGTTTTAGAATAGATAATCGAAACATTTAATGTTGAAGAGAAAAAAATAGCTACTCCCCTCTTTTTTTTTTCTTTACAAGAAGAACATACCACACTAGTAAAATCTTTAATTCTAAATTTCCCCTCATCTGTTCTTCTCCAATGAGTCTCTTGGATGCCTACAACTTGCGCATTCTCTCTTCTGATATGATCAGCTAAAAGTCTCCTTTTTTGTGGGGAGTTCAAGCCTTGTGCATTAATAGAGACTACATTAAACATAGAAAATTTATCTTATCTTTTTCTCTTTTCTTTTTCTTTCCCCTCTCCTTTTCCTGACTTCTCCTCTCTTTGTTCTTTTTCCTTTTTTTCCTTTTTCCCCTTTTTCCTCTTTTCAAAGTCACATCCCCTTCAGGATAGGTATCTTTTTTTACTAGTTCATATGTTTGCATCTTCGTCAACTTATAACAAACAAAAAACCACAAAACATTTACATTCACAACCATAATTATAAAAGACATCCCTTAAAGGAAGTATGGATGGACCTGTGATTTCCCTCTTTCACAGAACCTCCAGATAGATCCTATATGGGATCATTATAATGATACTGAACTGCCCCTTATGAGAGAGTGTTTGAGCAAGATGATAAATTTGGACCCCTGATAAATGCTCTACATAGATATCAACAAAGAGAAAAAAAAAAAACTAGAACCTCTATCTTATCAATCTCTAACTAGACCTTCTTCCTCCTCTCTCCCTCTCTTCTCCTGGAAGATCTCAGACTTCGTACCTGACCAATTCTGTTCTTCCACTTCTAATAAGCATAAATTATTATTCAATCCAACATAAACCTTAGTGATTACACTATCCCTTACACCCATTATCAACCTTTATCCCTCTATCCCTTCAAAAACCCTATTTGGTTCAGTATCCTTATAACTTTTAAAGCAGTATTAGTGACTTATCAATTTACACTCGTTTTGTGATATCCATTTTGAAGCTTAATTAAATATATTCTTCTCTAAAAAAAAAACGTGCTTCCTTATAAACTATCAAATTAGAAAAATTTTTACCCTCAAATCTCCCTCTTAAACTCTTACTAAGACATATTCATTATCTCTCCTCATCTATTCCAATAATTATATATTCCCATTTTCCTTCTTCAGTGAAATTTCTTCCTTTATAACAACTATTATACTTATCCTTCCTTAATCGTTATCTTACATCCTATTATTACATTGCATAACGTGAACAGCAACCACGTCTTTAAATAACATCAATAACTTTATAAGCCACTTATATAACCATCTAGTATCTTGCATTGACTAAAAAATAAAAAAATCCTTACACGTGCGATCATCCCCAAAGGAAGAACTCTCCTAGTACATCACCATTATGATTTTTATCAATTAACAAAGTCTATCTTCATCTTCTTTATCCTCCCCTTAGACCAGGTATAGGTAGTAAAGCCGGGAAGGGAGGGAGAGAAAGTCAAAAAAAAAAAAAGCCTTCATTTTTCAATTTATATAGCTTCTCTCCTGTGACCTTTATCCTCATTTCCTTGAAAGTCCATTTGAAAATTTTGCTCTCTGAACCAATTTGAAATTTCTGTAACATCTGAAAAGGAATATGTCCTTGCTTCGTATGAAACAATAATTTTACAGGGATATCGCCATGCATATCTGATGTTCTTCTGATGCAGGATCTTTGTATAATTTGCAAACAATTTTCTTTTAATCCTAGTGTAATAGGAAATACCTGGAAAAATCCTAATGTCACTATGTGGATCCTTCATCTTAGTAAGTCTTGATGCTTTTAAAACTTGTTCTTTCATTTTATAAGACGAGCAGCAGATCATCACATCTCTCGGTATACTTTGATCCACATATTCCGGTTTCATAACTCTATGACTTCTTTCCAGGAAATTTAATGAATTTATCGTTTGTATACCCAATTGTACAAAGATCTCCCTAATATGATCTTGCAATTCATCACTATTGATAGATTCTGGGATTCCCCTGATGCTTAAATTATTGCGTCGGGAACGATCTTCTAGATCTGCAATTTTGAGTTCCATATCCTCTATCTTTTTATTTGTCTTTCTCATGGTATCTTCTATTATTGCTTGCTGAAATTCCATTGATTCTACTTTTTCTTCATACTGCTTAAGTTTATTTTCCATTTGTGATAACTCCATTTTGAATTCCAGCAAACCTTCATGTATCTCCTTTTTGATTTTCTCAAGTTGCCGTTCAAAACAGGACTCAAGATAAATATGTAGTTCGTCCGCGCTATATTCTTTTGGACTTAGGTTTGTAGAAGTGCCCTTTGGAGATAGGTGTTCTGCTTCTTTAAATGATTGGGAGGAAGAATCTGATAAATTTTGTTGTTGGTCTAATTCCAATTTCTGTGTTTGCAGCGGAGCTGACGAAGATAGCCTTCTATCTGACTTACATTCTATCTTTCTTTCTCTTTTCATGGGTTGTTTATTATCTTGCCCTTTCCTAGTGGTCATCTTAAGTGAAGAAAAAAAAAAAAAAAAGATTTCTCCTTTAAACCAGATTCAAACGGACCTTTATGCTGTTAACGCTTGTTCCACGCCTTTAAGACTTATAATGCTTTAATTATACTTTTAGGAGCCGATGGAAAGCAGGACTGTTAACCTTCTTAATATCATTTCATCTAAGACCTGCTTTTTGAGCAAACCAAGTGGCAATCTACTGTGTGTTAAGTATTTTTTTTTTTTTTTTCCCTAGCACGAGTGCAACGATCTGGTGCAGTCACATAATTGCGCCTGCCTAAAGCAGTTACACCCTTACGCCAGTTCACTTGTTGTCCTTCCTTGCACCACTTTTGGTAGGTACTAACCACTGCATACTGGGAATACCCCACAAGACTTACCGTTTTGGAGATGCACTGAGACAGTCATCTAGTCATCGCTATTTGACCCTTGTCAAAGTCACTCAGATGTTTTCACTTTTTTCTTTCAAATGTTTTTTATTGAGTTTTTCAAATATATATAAATACAGTATAATAATAATAAACATATTGATAATAAATAAGATTAATAACGGGTCTATAAAATTATTAATCATATAATGAAAATAAAAAAAATAAAAAATAAAATAATAAAGATAAAATAAAAAGGGGGAAAAATAAAAAAAATAAAAAATATATTAAACAATAAAATAATTTGACATGTACAACCATCCATAAAAAGTGACATATTTAGTCAATAAATATATCCTATTTACAAAATGAAAAAAAGCTATTATAATATTTACAGTATTTATTTACATAGTTTGATCAAATGGCTATCATATTGTTAAATTGTATTTGCTTTGGACATTGTTTCCCAATCGCTCTATTCTTATCTTAATGCAATATTATTTTCTGAATACGTATGATAAATCAATTCATGTTGTTTATTATCTAGAATGGGATATAAAACCTCCTTAATGTCTGGCAAGCCACTAGTTTTCCAATATCTGGTTATAGTGGTAGTTGCTGCAATTTCTTTTTATACTTTTCACTTTTTTCTGCCTCTAAAACAGGAAATTCAAGAACTGACTGTTTACTTGCTACCTAATATATCCCACTCCTTGACAAGTGCCATTGCAACAATATAATCAAATTTATTATAATCATTATAAATAAAATAATAAGTATTTTAATATATTTTGTTATATTTAATATTTCAATATAATCAATCTTATTCACTTCACCTTTCAGTGGTTTTAATGTTGTGGTTGTTTAGTGTAGGTTTATTAAATGGTATTTTAAAATATTTTTTTTGTCTTTTGAATATATTGTTGATTATATTTAAATGTTGTTCAGTGGAAATACAAAAACAGTAAACTATACAAAATGATTTACTTGAGACCAATACTATTTTTTTTGTGTTTGGACAAAGTTAATCCAAAATGCTATTTGCAAAGTGACCTTACTAATAACTTTGGAGGTCTATTCTTCTTCATGTGCAGTGTGGTGCTGGAGAAACTTGACAGGTAGATGGATGAAGAACATAACCACCCTCTATAATGTATGTGCTTATATTTTATATCTAAAAATATAATTCCCTTACTTTAGATGACACTTTCAGATCAAAGATGAGAAGTACATTGAAGTACATGGAGTGGTAGAGGTGGTGGCAGGTCGTGACCAGCTTTGCAACATTCCTAATTAACTGGAAAACATCTTCACATCCGGACAACTACTTGATTTGGGGGGCTCTGGGGAACATGATGAGCCGGCATTGAGTTTAGTTCTGTCTAGTGTTCTTGTTTGTCTAGTTTCCCAAATACTTTACACTAATAGTGCTTCCCTGAACCACTGAATTTTCGACAGGATCAAAAGGTTGAAACATTTATCTCTTTATAACCTTTGGAGAAGTGTGCTCTTATTTCTTTGGCACCACACTCACATTTCTTTCCTTAACACAAGATAACATTGTTTCACTACTATCTTGTCAGGGCATCAAACCCCTTTTCGGGGGCATTGATGGTATCCATGTGTGAATTACTAAGGATTTGTTGCCTCAGTCGGCAATCCAATACAGTGAATGATACCTCCACTTGCTATTCAGACATCCCGGGGAAGTGGTTTGATTTCTTCTTTTTAGGTCTCTAAAAAATGTGCTCAATCCATACCTTTCATACTATTCAGGTGCTCACTATATAGATAGCGGTTAGGATCGGACCAACCATCTCTTACAACACTTGTTGAGATGTCACATCGTCATCCTCAGATGCACCAAACAACTTATCAGCAACTTAGTGTGACTAGATGTTTGAGTTTTATTTATCTATTCGTTTGTTTCATTATATAAACTTCAGTTTACAGTGAATACACACCTTTATCATTTCCACTACCTTTATTACAGATATGGTGTTTCTAAGATCACACTTTTCAAAATCAAGAAGGCAGATTGACAAAGCAATGCTAACCCGCTCCCTAATGCAGGTTGAAAGCCCAAGTAGTAATCCGGTGGCTAAACTGTCCATCAGTTTAATACAGAAACTCTCTTGAAATGTTCACTGCACAGCTCCTTCCCAAGAACGTTTGTTATATCTCAATATTCACATACATCAATTCAACCCCAAATAAAACAGAGATTGATACAGTCTTACAATAAAGGCTACCTGATATTTGCATCTTTAGTTACCCCATCCAAATTATATTGAAAACAAAGTTTAGCAGAAAAGACTATAAAACCAGAGTACCATTCTATAAGTCTTTTCAGTGACATAATTTGGATACCATACTAAAGCAGAACTTAATGAATGAACGTTTATTGTGCATAACAAAAAATGCACTGGGCATACAAAACAAAATGTTACAAACAAAAGGTACATTCAACAACAAATAGACAAGACAAAAATAGAGGAAATTAAAGGAAAATCATAATACTCACTGTACTAGCACATTACTAATATTTCTGCCCCATGAGAGTTTTTGATAAAAAAAATAAAAATCCATTACAAGTGGGTCTCAAAATGGATTACAAAATTATTTAGGTTTAATCTTTATATTCAGTTTCCTGCTTAGCCAGGCACTTCTGGAGGGGCAGGATGGAGAGGTATACCAAAACCTGGCTAAACATGTACAATGCTATATGCTGTATGCTGGACATACTTATATACAGATACATCTGATCTATCTGTAACCAGGCCAGATCATCTCAGTGAAGTCAGACAATTAATTTGAGACTAGGAATGACATATCTTTCATAGATAACACCCCAAAATAAAAATAGTATCTAAAATGACTTCCACATTTAAAGTGAATATCCCTTCATTAAACTTACAATACAATGTAGGTGTATGTTAATTGTCAAGCTCTCTCTCTGACAGCTTATTTGATAAGGTCCAGAAATAAAGGGAACTCATCCTTGAGCCAGTACCAGTTATTTTATTTTCATTTGGCTAACATCAAATAAAAACTATTCCTTAATTTCTGAACAATTGCAGGGTTTTTTTGAGACACCAACAAGATTTAAAATGAAAAACAAAAAGTAATGTGCACTGTTACTTTAAGAACCATTCATACATATTCCAACTCTTATGCAATCATATAACATAAAACTATACCTTTAAGGTGCAAAACAGTAGTGCAAACAAAAACACAGTACCCTTAAGTGCACTATTTTTTAATAAAGTGCATCAAACAGTGAAAGTGCAAGACACTTGTGTTTTCACACTTGGTTATAAAGTGCACATAGTGCACAATTTCAATAAAATGTTAAACCAATAATGTGAACACACTTAATGCAAAAGTGTATCAAACATTTTAGTGCAAAAAAAGTAGCTTCTAAGTGCTCAAAATCATGTAATATTGTTAAAAACAGTAGTAGCCCAAATATATGTACACTCACAAATAGGAAGCAGGTAAGTACTTCACAAGTATTCCACATAGGCAGCAGCTCTCTTTGACAAATCATTATTCATAAGATATTGGAAAAAAATGTACACTTAAAGCGGCACTGTTATGACAAACTTACCTTTCTCCTATTGTTTCCCTCTACTCCCTATGTTTTAAAGAAAACTAGACCAGAAATAAAGAAAAGAAGGACACATTCTGAGAGTGGAACAGAAGTGGAAACAAGAGGAGAACAGGACAGTGCCACTTTAATGGTACTGTGTTTTTGTTTGCACAGTACCTTTAATATATCAAATGCACAGATATATACATGAAAGAACAGATCAACATACACACAAAAGAGACATAAGACGCAACATGCATATTTTAGACACCATCCTACTTCCATACCTTAGACTTTACTATAGACTTGCAACTGCAAATAATGCTGCATTTGCACATGACTGGGGTTGATTAGAGTGGCTAGAGCCGTCTCCTCTGTTTTCCTCCTCTCTCCTGTGCTGCTGGGAGGAAGTGAAGTTTATTCTACCAACTCAGCAAGAGCATGGGAGGGAAACTGGCAAACTGACAAGGTCCAGTGCTGTGATATAAGCCAACACGTATGTGGCACAGAACCCGGCCTCCACATTAGAGAACCTTTAGTGTTAGGGTCACCTGATGAGCCCCTTAAGCTACAAGGAACAACACCGTAGCACTGGTTACGATTGATGGTAGTTCCAACCCAGATTTTGAAGATAATGCATTCCTTTATTCGCTAATAAGATGGCACATATAAATATGCATGTATATGAAGTGAAAGATGGTGGATATCTAAGAATGTCGTGAGACTCATGAATGCTTGTGACAGTATGTTTTCCAGCATAAGCATATTGCTTTATAAATATGCCATCATCTGTCTGTATTAATGCACAGAGATACAAATGTGGTGGTATGCTTATGTAAACATATTATTTAGAAAGGCTTGCTTTAAATGTTGTCAAGCCTGCAAGCTGATATCTATGTTTTCATTCTATTTTTTTTACTTTTAATAATATAGAAGGTTAGGATTATAGTATTCTAGGCATCAACATAATTTTTTGTCTCTTTTGATTATGACATGGATCTTGAAAAAATATTAAAATTGATGGATCTATATTTGTATTAACAATATTAGAGTGTTTTTTTTTCAGCCATGACTTTTTTTCCAGAATTCTTGATTGCCTACTTGTATCCTTTAATTTTGAAGTATCTATGTGGTATGTTTCTCCTGTTGGGCTATAGTGTCCAAGCAACTGTTTCTTTTAATTGACCAGTGACTTAATAATAAGACAATCAGTAGAATAATACAAATGAGCATGGTATAAGTTTACATCACAAGGTTTTTAAAAACATTTTTTTCTATAATGACGTGTTGCCTGTAAAACTATTTTCTGCAAGCAACATTAATGCTTACACACAAAATATAGCTTTTAGGATTGACCGTGAAAGAAAAGTTTATAAAATTGTAATGGTCTAGGGACTTTATAAGACTTTGTAAGTACTCATGACATACAAACCCTACAGCATTCTACATATACTACCGGGGATCTCAATGGGCAAGGAAACAAACAGACTGCTATATAAAGAATGCATTCTGGTTAGGAAACTCTATCCTTGTCAAGAATTATATGAATCTTCAAATATCTCAAAGGTACAGGGTATATAAAAGCATTAAGTATATTTAATATGAACTCCAGGTTACTTGTCGTGTTCACAATAATGCCTTGACATATTTCCAAAAAGCATCATCTTTTGGCTTAAAGGATGGACACTTGGAAACCAACTGTTGTTGGATGTATGGGAAATATACACACTTATGCATGAGGATGAACTAGATAAATATGAGTAAATATGTAATGAATATTTCATCAGTATGGGAAATATTTATTAAACCTTAAATATATTATTGATAAATCTTTCATAAGTTGTACTTATTAAAATATTCTTATACAACATTTCCAAAAAGGAGCATAACCCACAAGAGTTACATTAGAGCATGAAATAAGTCATTCCACATGTGAGCAATAAGACTTTAAGTAACCAAAATAGGCATTTCCTCTTGCTTGCACAACATGCACAATAATAACTGGAAATGTAACTAGATAAAGATTTGAATTGAACAAATACAGAAATACAGGGTGTCACCCCTGACCCCCCCCCCCAGTCTTGCCCCACGAGTGGGGGATAATAAACTAAATGGGGGGACCTAGTGTCCCCCTCTAGCTCTCACCGATGAGCAGCAGATTGGGGCCCTAAGTAACAAAAGGGAGGACCTATTGTCTTGCCCCCACCCATGAGCCAAGGGGTATTTGGGGGTGACAAGAGTATGAATAAACATTTTAAACCAATCTATTGCGATAGCACTTGCTATTAGATGTGAATTACGTGACCTTTAAGTATATATACATATATTTAGAGAAAATTTATTGTTTATATTACTGCCTAGTTACACCTCTAGTGGCAATCACTCAGATGGTCACTAGAGGTGCTTCTTGGGTCAGTGGTGCATACTCTGAATGCTTACCATAGTGATGGTTACATGGTTCTGATCAGGTCAGACAAGAGACCTATACCAGGGTTGACTTTGGTTCTTTATTGGAATACTTAGACATGGTTTTGACCTGAAATAATAAGTGTAGCAGGACTTAAAGGAAATGAAGACAAAAGGGATAAAGCTGAATCTATAAACAAAATTAAAGGTAAGAATAATGAGGTTTATAAATTAAAGAGTTTAGGCAACAAGCCCCAGACAGTTTATATAGAAATAGAAGCAGTACCTATAAATTTATAATTATAGAATTATAGGTAAGTAACAGGTTATTAAGAAATAAGTAGAAGTAGAACCTATAAATGACATTATAGGAAATAGTGAAAATGAGAACCTATTAACGGAATTATAGGAAGAGGGAAGAAGGAGAACATATAAATGGAATTATAGGTTAGTATAAAGAAAGAACAGAGATAAGGTTAGGCAATATGCCCCAAGCAAGTTATTGGGTGAAAGGGAAACCTATAAGTGCAATTATAGGTTACAGACAAACAATAGAATAATAAGATTGAAATAATCAGAATATGGAGGTATAACGAATTCAGGTTAGTTAGACATTTAGATGTTCAGTCTCTTATGGTTGGAGGCAGTTATGCAGAGATAAGACAGTTGCAGCAGGGTTGTTTTGGGTAGATGCAAACAATTAGGAAAGTCAATATTATCCAAGTAGGTTGTGTTGAATTCGATAAAGTGTCCAGTAGAACATAAGAAATAAGGTAAATTGGTAATAAAGTCCAGTAAGAAATAAAGCAGTTTGGTATTGGAGATCAGGTTTATGTACCAAGCTTCTTGGAAAAGAGCAGACTGGAAACAAAGCAGGAGGGTTAGTTAAATCAGGAAGGTTAAGTGGTATTCAGAGTTGAGCAGGTTTTCTCAGAATGAGCCAGGATCAGAAGTC